TTGAAATGGACTTAATGACTTGAGAGAAAAAAGTATTTTATAGTGTTTTGGAGTTTCCTTAGGAGATTTTTTTTTTTTTTTTTTTGTAGAGAATACTTAGTAAAGTCTTAGAGGGTGAGACTCTCTGTTCTTGAACTTATTCTCAAATTGATCCAGTGTAGAAAAGATACTTTATGCTGTACTTAAAACACTTCTGTGCTGTTTTATCTATTTTTAGGTAAGAAAGAACATCTATCTCAATCATTCTTAAATATATGTAAAAGCATTTCATATTGGCCCTAAACCATTATTATCTAAATTTAGTCAAGTAATTTACTGCAGAGACATAAAGATAATACCATGTTTCCTCAATGCATATGTCACTCAGAAAAATCCACCATTATTCAAAGCTATAACTCTTTTTAATAACCATGCCTAAATGGGCTGCTCTTCATTCTTATTTGGGGGTCTATGATAGTCTATCCCCTGTTTTGCAACTTGATATTTTTTCCCCATGATTCAATAGTATGTTGGGCTGACTAGTAATGCCACATCTGATGGTTTCAATAAAAATCACTGTTTCTGCTTTCAAATGTAGTATTCAGGATTAGGGTAAATGTGAAACCCTGGATCAGTCTAGTCTTCCTAGGAACAATTCTCTCCCAAGTGGGACAACCGAGGTCACATCACTGGGTATTGCTTTGAGCTGTTCTCCCTACAAGCATGGTCCTGGGGCTCTGGTGCACTTGCCCTGAGCCTGGCTTTCTGAAGGGTAGGTGATGGGGGAGGCCTTGGGGGAGAGGAGAGTTTATTAAGCCTTCTCTCCTATGGAAGGGTGTCTGCTGCTCAATGCATGTCCATTCTGTGCACCATAAATGCCACTTTTCTCTTTTACTCTTTAGCAGTGAGTGGGGACATTATTCTGAGTAAGACCAGGCTCCCTGTTTGCCACTCCAGTGGAGAGAGTCAACATTTCCTGCCAATCCAGATCCATATACAAGAAGTACCTTGGGTCTTGACTAAACATGGACAGGACCAAACCCCTTATAGGCATGTTTTATGTTTCCCCAAACACGTTCAGCAGCAAGGGAAGTGAAACTCAGTACATAGTCAGTGTCAGTGTCTTGGAGCCCAGGGACTCTGAAGACTGATGCATGACTGCAGGTGGCCAAGACACTGCAGGGCAGCCTGTGCACAAACATCCTGTTCCATGTCTCAGGGCCTGAATTTCAAGGGAACTCACTTGCAGCCAGCCTGCCAGGATCTCGTTCTCAAAAGATGCACGCACATAGGAGCTTCAGATTGAAGGTCCACATCTTTTCTCTGAGTAGATGTAGGAGTCACTGTTGGTCCCCTCAGCCATTCCCCTTCACTGCACTTCTGCTGAGTGTACAGGATATTGGCTAAGAAGTGATTATTGAGATAGAAATGAAACACATGTATTTCACAGAACCAACGTCCTTAGCTTAGGAGGCCACAGCCAAAACCCTTTAGAAAAACATGTAAGAATGCTAAGATTGAGAAAGACCAGAAAACTTTCATAGGACTAAAGCCTTTGATGTAGATAAGAGAATTGAAGCAGAAGGGGTATTGTTCTGGGGGCAGTAGCCCTTAGTTCAGGTAAACCTAAATGATGGGAAAGTATGGAAGCTAAGATCTTCAAGGATATTCTGTTAGATTGGTTAGTGCCTGGGGGATGTTCTACATCTCGGCCTAGGCTGTTTCTTTGAATATCTAAGGGATTTATGTGCTTTGGTGATTATCTCATTGTTTTTCTTTGTACATCACATAGCTTAGTTTTACGACTCCTATTGATCATAAATTGCTTGAACTATTTTAAGTTATACATGCTTAGATGAAGTTTATTGAGTAGCCAGTTTGTTTACGTTTTCACTGCAATTGATTAACCATCTGTTTTTCTTCTGTAACTTTCTTGTCTTTATAACAAAAGCTGAAGCAAAAACTGACTCAGGGCTGTGACTGGTCTCTCCTCTCTTGATGGAGTTTCTTTGGTGCAGTCCCTTCAGGATTCTCATTGCTCTTAACATCAGGGCATTGAGTAATCTTTTGTGTCTCTGTCTCTCCGCAAGACGTGACAGCTGACTTCTAAAGACCATGTCTGTGCCTCACTGCTCTCTCTGAAGCTCAGGAAGGCAGCTCTGTCTGTGCACATGGCAGACCACAGGCCTGGAATGGGCATCCTCTGGGACAACCCTCAATCATTGATGACAGGAGGGGTGTGCACATACCCCAGCTCCCTCAGACCTCATGGGGAATAGCTGGAGGAATTTTCCTGTGTATCCACATGGACCTGAGGAACAGTCCTCCTCAGCGCTGGCTGACTTGCTGATGTGCCTTTCTCTGTCCATCTTCTCTTCCCTGTCTCTCTTTTCTTCTTCTCTCCTAGTGATTCCTGCACCTTGTGAATATAATGCCTGCAGGGGAATCCTTGCCACTGGTGGACCCAACCTAAGGCAGTGGACCAATTTTTACTCTCAAAGGGTCTAAATTCTTTCCACTTCTTCTCGATGTGTAAGAAAATTTAGACAATTTAAGACATGTTGACTTTAACAATCTCTCTTTGATGATATTTAAGAAGTAATTCTTGTCTTATAGGTCACAAAATCAAAGGAGTTTAAAAAATATCTACACACTGTGAAGTCACCTTTAGACATTAGAGGTCGGTGAATAAGAACCCCCCCAAAAAACAAAAAAACCCACAGATCACAGGAACCCAAGTTGCAGATTTCTTCCATCTCTATTGCTCATAAATCTGTCTTGGATATTTTTATTCTACATTAGTGGGGACAGTTGTATGGACAATGACAATTGTTACTGAGTTGAATAAAACCCTCACAAAAGAAGATATCTATGTCCTAATCTTTGAATTCTATGAATGCTACCTTCTGTGGCAAAAGGAAATTGTTCAACATGATTAAATTAAAATTTCTCAGATCAGGAGATAAATTTGAATTATCCTGTTCAGACCAATGTAATGACAACAGCCCTTATACAAGGGAGAAAGTAGGGTCACAGTCAGAGAGAAGATGTCACAGTGGAAATGGGTGTTGGAGTGATGGCAGGAAGGGGCTGTGGAGCAAGGAATGTGGGGCAGGGGCAGCAGACAGCTGTGCATTTCACAACATCCTGGTTTTGTCTTTCCTCATTTTTTACGTTTTTTTGGGCTCATCCATGGGATGAACATGGCCACAAGGAAGGAGCATAGTTAAGGTCCGACAGACCTGGTTCAAATCCCAGCCTCAGCACTTGCTGACCGTGTGACTGTGGACAAACCGCCTCTGCTCTGATGGTTTCCTCACCTGTGAAATGGGGCATTATCATGGGTTGTCCTGAGGGTTTAACCAGATGAGGCACTATGAA